AGTTATAATCACGGTGTCGTGGGGGACCTTGCAAACCCTCACGTTCCGATGATTGCGCGCAAGTGGTACGAGCACTCTGGCCCATCAGTAAGAAAGATAAGATAAGATAATAAGATTCTGATAAGACATCATAATTAAGCATAATTGGCTCATGCATATTTATTCATGTGAACTTACAGTTATTTTACGAGAGATGGTTCCTACTTGCTGAGCGAAAGCTCATTATAGAATGTTTATACTGTAGGTAAGCAACCGGCATATAATGCCTGATGGACTGCTGGCGAGTGGACGAACGATGTGGGGCTCGGGATATGGATACCACTCGCAAATATTTCCGCAATCAGCTTTATGTTATAAATAGTTTTGTTAATTATGATTCTGAAATAGATATGTTAAGGTTTAAATATTTTAATTAAGAAAGCAATTTTGTATCTTATGTTTATTATAAGACCTTTAAAAAAAAAAAATGTTCCGTAAATTTTAAGAAATTTCAGTAAGTACAAGTTAAAAAGTTAGTTACAGTGGCGGCCTCAAAAGAGGGTCGCTACATGTGATATGCTGGAAGTCAAATCTACAACACATTGTAGCATTGTCTACTACAGAGGCAGAGTACGTTGCTCTTACATAAGCATTCAAGGAGGCAATATGGCTGCAAGGAATTACAGAGGAGCTTGGAATCAAGAATGAGTCTGCTATTGTACACTGTGACTCACAAAGTGCTATACATCTCTCTAAAAATCATGTGTTCCATGAAAAAACAAAACACATAGATGTGAGATTACACTTTGTGAGAGACATCATAGCTCAAGAAAGGATTAAAGTAGAAAAAATTTCTACTTTGAAAAATCCTGCTGATATGCTTACTAAAGCAATTCCTGTTGGTAAGTTTGAGCAAGCTTTAAGCTTGCTCAATGTGCTGCCAACGTGATGAGTTCTAGTAAGTGCAGAGGTCCAGTTTCAATTCACCAAAAATCTGAGTCAAGGTAGAGTTTGTTAATAATGTGACTCTGATTTATGAGTTGGTTATTAACAGGTTAAATTTGTTATAACTAATGGGATTGCAGCCCAATTAGTTGTTGAGATAAATTTAACTATCTCAGTTAACCAATTATGGTTAATTCCCTAACTCAGGTTGATATAATAGGTTCTATTTTATATGTAGTATAAAGTAGAAAAAGCAGAAAACAAGTGGTTCACGTTTTCATTACTTTACTTTGTGCTTTCTCTTTCTAGAATTGGGTTTGGATTTCTCGGTGAGTTTTAGAGAGAGACTGTGAGAATTTCTGAGAAAGCTTGGGATATTGAAGCTTGTAATTGAGAGATTCATCAAGAGTGAAGTCTGTGAGGTTGTAATTATTTTTCTGCATACTAGTGGATTGGACCGGAGGTTTTCAACCTCTGCCCTTGGATTAGGATTTCCTAGAAATCTGAACCAAGTAATTCGTGTGTTCTTCTTCTTCTTCTTCTTTTCTTGTGTACGATTCTTGAAGACATTGACCTGGGAACAACACTCTTCCATAGCCTTTACCCATTCGGATCTTTGAGATGCTTCCTCATATGTCTCTAGCTCTTTTATTACTTCTTCTGCTATTCCCGCGTTGGTGTACTTGGGATTTGGTATTCTCATTGATCGTCTAAGCTGTGACTGTGGAGTTGATGCTTCCGTTTCACTAGGTCCACCATCTTCGATTGGTTGTTGATACACACTTGTTTGCCAAGGATTCTGAGTTACTCCCTTCTCGACACGATCAACGTTACTTGGGTCTTCAAGCTCGTCTGAACTTGACCGAATTTGTGCAGTTTGCTCCCCCATCTTCTGTTGTAGCTTTCTTCAATTTCTTTTGTGTCTGGTAATACCTCCTTTTCTAGGGACCACCATGAAGATGTTTCATCGAAGACTACATCTTGTGATGTGTAACATCTTTCACTTGTAGGATCGCAACACTTCTACCATTTTCTCTGGCTGTTGTATCCTACAAAAATACATCTGACTGCTTTCTTGTCAAACTTATTACGTAAATGGTTAGGAACAAATACATAGCAAATAGAGCCGGATACTCAAAAGTAGCTAATTGTAAGTTTCATGTTCCACAATTTCTCAAAAGGTGAAACAAATCCTAACCTTGTTTAGGGAAGTTTGTTGATCACATGAGCAGCAGTTCTCATGGCTTTAATTCAAAACCTTCCTGGTACATTCTTTGCATGTAGGATGCTTCGACAGATTTCTGCAAGGTGTCGGTTCTTTCTCTTCTCTACGCCATTCTGTTGTGGTGTGTTAGCGCAAGTGAACTAATGGTGTATTTCACACTCTCGTAGATACTGAGTGAATTCTTTTGAGAATATAACTCAGATAAAAAAATTTAAAAAAAAAAAACTGTAGTAACAGAAATGATCAATAGAAAAACATGTATTTTAAAGAATAATGACAAAAACCAATCAAATTTATTAACAAATAATAAATATAGTATCTTAATACATAGTGATGATCTTGCTAAATCAGTTGTGGACCTGAAATAGCATTTCGCTGTAACAAATTGGAATTTTGTAACACCATTTCGTTTGCAAGTTGTGGTTAATAAATAATTTATTCACAACAACATCTCTATAATGCAAAATTTTTGGCAAGCTATTTTCGGAATATAACATGAAGACCTAGAAAAGGTCTAATGAATGCTTGAAGTAGGAGCTTTCAATAGTCATTTCCATAGGGTTGAAACATCTCAGTCCTCACAGACAAAGGAATTCTCACAATGTGCACTTTATCTGTCCATGTTAAGCTCCCAAAGAGATAATCAGTGTTCATTTGATGGGTTGTGGAGATTGTAACTTGAAATGAAATCTTTTCAATAGTAGAGTTGAATACCAAGAACTCAGGTTTTACCGACACCAATACTCCAGATGGAGGTTCTATTGTTGCTTCATAAATGGAGTTTGGAGACCCAACATTCGTGACGGTTCGTGTTACTACAATTGGAGTAGTCCTAATGCTTGGTATGGTGATAGAAGGCAGGTTCACATCTAGAACAGAAGGTTTTTGAAGTGGACACTTTGTGAGATTTCCTATGAGGTGAGATATAGCAGAATTGTTGTAGTGCATTGCACAAAGGTAATGTGCGTAATCAGATGTTCCCATGTCGTATACTAGACCAGGGTCTGCTGCTGCATTTGGGTTTACAATGCCGCCTCCAAAGTCGAATGGATCAGCCAGCTTCTGGGGAGACCCTTCTGAAAATATTGTTAAACCAGATGGAGCAGCCGTCCTTGCTGCAATGAAAATGTTATGCATTTCAATAACTTGTCAGTTAAGTTTTCCGTATGTGACTTTTCATCACTTGTAAGTTCCCCCTTTTTTTTTGGTTAAATCACATACTGTCATATAATAGTTTGGCATTCTTTAAAGAATGACAATAGAATGAGAAACGCTACCGGTAGTAATGATTGCCGACTTAATGGCAGCAGGGGACCAAGTGGGATGGAGTGCTTTAAGAAGTGCTACAATGCCTGAGATATGAGGAGTTGCCATTGAAGTTCCTGAGTGCATTACATATCCATTATCTGCAAATTCATCTAGTGGAGAAGCTGCAGCTAATATGTTCACACCCGGTGCTGTTATATCTGGCTGTTGCACAAAGAAACAAGAAGATGAGACCAAATATTTTGTGGTGAACCCCCTTTAGTTTCAATAAATTAGCTTGATAAGATGCGTATTAATACTTGCTTGTGGAGACTTTTTGAGCATCATATTGCAAATACCAAGCATTTAGATCGAATCGCAAAAGATAACTCAAAACAAGCAAGCTTTTTACTTAACAGAATGCTTTTTATTTTTAAATGTCATATACCTTAAGGATTGCTGGTGCAACAGAGTTGGGCCCTCTAGATGAAAAGAAGGCCACTTTGGCTGATACAGGTTTTCCCACGACTGTCTTGGGAGGGCTCAACCTCACAACAGGAAACCTGTTTTTTTTTTTCCATAAAACAAATCCCATTTTAAGGATTCTAAAAGAACACATCATAATGAAAACAAGGATTGTATTATTCATCTTACCTCGTAGACCTGATGTAAAAGAGAATTTTGGTGCCAACCTCATAATCAACTTCAACACAAGGGAAATCACCAGGGCATGGATACAAGGCACCACTTGGATGCTTGGCCACAATTAAGCCAACACCACCCGCTTCTCTCACAGCAGATGTTGCGCTTGTTATGGCGATTCGACCACTCATTGAGGTGAAGCAGAGCACCACTTTTCCGGCAGCGTCAGTCCCATTAAGTGTGAGAGCTTGACAAATTCTGTAAGCAGTTTAACTCAGATCATGACTAGCCACACTAAAATTTGTACACTGTTTATTCTCTGTGTGACAACTCTAAAGTAAATAATAGATTTACTTACGCAGATGCAGTAGGGTCAAGGCCATGGGACTCTGGATATAACAAGCCTGTGAAAGCATTCTCTTTTCTGGTAATCAAAGCTTGACCCTGCAACAATAACCACATTGAGAAGGATACATCAGTTGATTAATAAGCCTAGATTGCTTTTCTATTTTTTATTCTCTAAATTAATCCATACTTGGAAATCCTAGATTTTTTTTTTCTTCTTCTCTTTTTGTTCAGAAGAACTAAAAACTCCATACTTACCTAGCATATTACTAAGCAAAATATTATTAAGAGGTAACTTATGTTATAAGGAAGACTTAATGGTAATGCGCATTTCTAAATGTCACATTACACAATTGCATCGTTTTTTATATACAGTGCTTTTAGGGGCTCCAAAAAAATGTAAAAGTTATAGAAGTTCTAAAACTAAAATTGTGGTACAAATCTTTAAGTCATATTTATGATTATGAAATATGTCTTCCCAATTCTTTAATTTTATTTATAAAAAAAAAAAAAAAAAAAAAAAAAAAAAAAAAAACCCGCGCGCGCTAAAAGTTATAGAAGTTCTAAAACTAAAATTGTGGTACAAATCTTTAAGTCATATTTATGATTATGAAATATGTCTTCCCAATTCTTTAATTTTATTTATAAAAAAAAAAAAAAAAAAAAAAAAAAAAAAAAAAAACTCGCGCGCGCACACACTTATGTTATCAAGTAAGGCCTAACCATTTCTAAAAAAATAATAAATTAATAATTATAAGGCCTAGCCATTGGCAGAAGAAATTCAAAAATTACCACCAAAGTCTTGTTGTTTCCTAGAGTGATGGAAGCAAGAAATGCACGATCAATGCTGTTGGCTGCAACAGTCAATATCCAAGGAGCTGTGTTCTGCACAGTCTGAGCCGAAGGCCCATCATTCCCAGCTCCACAAACGACACTAATCCCATTTGCCACAGCATGAAAAGAGCCGGTAGCAATGCCATCTCTCTCGTCAACATCAGCATACAAAGGAATCCCAAAACCAATTGACAGCGACAAAACATCTACACCATCATGTATGGCCTCATCAAAGGCCTTAAGTATATCCGCGGACGAGCACTGCCCGCCGAGCAAGTTCCAGCAAACCTTGTACACCGCCACACGAGCCTTGGGCGCGCCGCCTCGTGCATTGCCCCCAGCAAGGCCCTTGTAGCTTACATTCCCCACAAAAGAGCCTGCAGCCGTGCTGGCAGTGTGCGTGCCGTGCCCGTTTGCGTCTCTCGGGGATAAGAACTCTGTCTGTCCTGATGAGTTCAGTGGCAAACCGTACTCAGCAAGAAATCCATCGATGAACCAACGGGCTCCAATGATCTTTCTGTTGCAGTGCTGAGTGGCATTGAACTTTTCGCCCGATTTGCAGACGCCTTTCCAGCGAGAGGGTACTGGTCCGAGGCCTCTTTCGTCGAAGAATTTCGACTCTGGCCATATTCCTGTTTCGTTCTTTGGATTAAATAAGCTTGGATGACAGAAGGGCCTAAAGCCAAATACAAATATATATAGAAAATGATAAACACTATGGAAAACAGCTTCATCATTCTTCATGATACGTCAAGAAGCTAAGTATATGAAGAGAAAAAAGAGCTAAAAAAAAAAAACTTGTTTGGAGTGAAACAACTAAGACAAAACAGTAAATATAATTTCACAATATTGTAAAAAAATTTATAACGTATACATTCATGATATTCAAGAGTAAAGATGTGCATCATTGCTTGTGTATCCGTGTGTCTATAACCTTCATTTGAAACTCTAAAGGCACTAGCAACTCATCAAATCTTCACCATTCAAAATAGTTTAAAAGTAATCAATGGTCGTAGATAAAGCAAGAATAAAAGAAAATGTTTTCTTTTTATAAAACACACAGAAATGGTAAAATAAAAAAAATTAAAAAAATTAATTATCGTGCGAGTCCACTTAATCAGTGGGCCCAACCTTTCGCTTGAGGTACCGTTGCCGGTACCAGTAAAGGATAGCAGCCATGGCCTATAGAGAGAAGGGAATGTAAACAAACCCGTGTCAAAGACGCCTATAATAACTCCATCACCATTGCTGCTGTTGTGAAGAAGATTGGAATTAGATTCATAAGAGAGGCCAAGGGAATCCCAACTCCTAGTTGTTTGTAGCCTGTGGAGGGTATTTGGTATGACCCGAACGACGCCAGGCAACTCTGAAATTCACCAATTTTTATGCACACACACATATACATACACTATGCCTTGTGCTTATAGTAGATTGGAAAAATTTGGACATGTTAGAATTACCAGCAATTTTTTTTGCCTCGGATTCTGTAAGCTTGGCAGCAAAGCCAGAGAAACCGTGTTTGTAACTGTATACCATCAATTCTGAGGCCTTTTGTTTACTGCAACATAAAAATTAAGCTCAACAAAACCATTAAATTTGACTAAAAAATATTGGATATAGCTCCACACTTTGTTATTCTTTTACCTTCCCACTATTTTGGCAAGCAAGTGATGATGTGAATCCGTGATCATCCCGGGATCGTTGTGCTGCTTTTCTCCCATGTAAACTATGTGAACCTGCTAATTAAAAACAGAAATTTTGCACAACCCAGTTAATATTTTTTTCTTGGATAGAGAAGATCAAGGACTTTCAGAATCATATTTTACTGAAATAAAAAAAAAAAAGGATCAGAGTTTAAGATGATGAAAGAAATAGATATCACTAACATTGACCTTTCCCTCCACCCTTCTTGTCCTTCCTTGACCATTAAGAACAAAGATGAGACAAACTAAAACCAGAAATGGACTTGGGATGTTCATATTGTCTTGTGTAGTTGTGTGTTCACAAAAACACACAAAGATGAGGGGTATGAATGAACAAAAGGGTTGATATCTCAGATCAAACAATTAGAATTAAGGACTTGAGCTAGCTAGAGATATCTTAATTAAAAAGAAATTTATTTGACTAAATATCTAGAAGCACGATTAGTTAAATTCAACATCAGCTCAAAAGCGGTATTTTTATGTTTAAAAAAATTTGACGTTGGCCTCTGGCTCATTGTTGCCATTGGTGAGTGGTGCGAACCCTCGTTGCATTTTTCCCTTTTTTGGCTGCAATAAGTTGACTTCAATATTCTTTGATCAATGCCGGTTTAGTTCGCTGATTCAAATTTTTAATTTGAGTTGAGATGTAATTTTATGTGAGAGCTTTTTATTATAGTAAAAAAGTTAGATGTGACTGTTTCTGAGAACTTTTTACTATAACAAAACTCGAATTCTAAACTCGAATCGGCAAAATGAACGGAACCTAAATTCTAGTGTGGGCCCTCGATGATTTTGTTGAGGAAAATGCTTTATTAATTTTAAATTGTTCGAGCACACTAGAATTATGTTATATTAAAAAAAAGTACGATAGTTTAGCCAAATTTAATGAAAATTTGACGATTTAAAATTATATTAACAACAGAGTTTTTTTCCACCCCGCCAAAGAATTATCCAAATAAAAGACAAAAAACACAAACTAATTGCTCTTATTTCCTAAAAAATAAGGTCTTTTTTAATTCTTTAATTTGAGTTGAGATGTGATTTTATATGAGAGTATTTTACTGTAGAGAAAAAATTAGATATGATTTTTTATTATAACTTTTAACAACATTCTAATGGAATTCTACCTTTTTTAAGATCAAGTATTGGGCATTTCTCACTTTACGGTGCATTTTTTGACGAGTTGAAAAGAGAATAATCTCGTTTGGTTTAATTTGAGTTGAGATGTGATTTTATATGAGAGTATTTTACTGTAGAGAAAAAATTAGATATGATTTTTTATTATAACTTTTAACAACATTCTAATGGAATTCTACCTTTTTTAAGATCAAGTATTGGGCATTTCTCACTTTACGGTGCATTTTTTGACGAGTTGAAAAGAGAATAATCTCGTTCGGTTTACTAATTCGAGTTTTTAATTCGAGTTGAAATGTGATATTATGTGAGAGCTTTTTACTGTAGTAAAAAAGTTAGATGTGATTGTTTCTGAGAGTTTTTTACTGTAACAAAACTCGAATTCTAAACTTGAATTAGCGAAAAGAACGGGGCTGTGTATCCCCTTTAAAAGTCTCCACAAATAGTAAGAGGCCAATTTAGAATTTATTCTGTGTTCTCACATCATCGTGGAATGGTCAACTAGTTTTTATAAGAGACGTATTGCAAAGGAAAAAAAAAAAGGAGGACTAATTGTTTAAAGACCTTTAAACAATTTTCCAACTAAAATGGCCCCTAATACCTCACAAATTGTACGAAGACGTTGACAAGCCAACTGCGTTCATAATTCAACCACGACTTCGAAAAGAATATAGGCCTTTTGAATTTAAGTGCCCAAGAATTTGTCCTCAACTCCATTAATTACCTCCATAGCTCATATTAAAGCATTTATCTACATTTTTACTAGTCCCTAGCACCAAAAACCCAACCTACATCCTAATGTTCTGCCATATAATTTATGATCTCATTTATTTTATTAATTTGAGTTTTTAACTTTAAATTTTTACAGTTAAAAATTTTTAAAAAATGTCACATCTAATTTTTTTTATTATAATTAAAAATTCTAAAAAAATATCACATCTCAACTCGAATTAAAAACATAAATTCACGAAACGAAGAAGACCTATATTATTTTAACAATAATGTTGATGTGGAATCCGTACGTCATGATCAGATCCTGTTGTTATACAAATTATTAGCGTGGTCAACAATTGTACAGATGAAAATTGATGATTTGATATTAGAATGCTTGGCGGTGAGGAAAAGGAAGACATGAATGAAAGACTTGGGGTTGTGGCAACTCTATTAGAACTAATCAAGGAGTAGAGTTTTTTAAATGGATTATTTTTAATAAGTCATATAAGATAGAATTTATAATTTTCTCATTTCTTTCCGATACCAATACAATATTTATGCGAAAATTAGGCTAAAAAGTGAATCCCTGCAATTCAACAATTTCCAATACCAATTTTGTAAAAGTGGTGTGTGTTCCTCTAATTCACTCATGATATTTTAGTACTATCATTGCAGATATAATCGCATAGGGAACATCTTCTTTTAGTTCATATTGGCTCCGTTCAATTCGCTGATTTGAGTTTAGAATTTGAGTTTTTCTACAGTAAAAAGCTCTCACAAATAATCACATTTAACTTTTTTACTACAGTAAAAAGCTTTCACATAAAGTCACATCTCAATTTAAATTCTAAACTCGAATCAGTAAAGTGAACGGGGCCGCTCACCATTCATTTCCACGAATTTATAGACTGAAATAATTAGCCATTATATCTTTGTCTTTCTTCTTTAAGTGGGTTAAGGAAGATTATCTTCTAATCACCTTCCATTTATTAGCAAAATTTTGGGACCAGCAAAAATTGTATGAAATGTGGTAGCCTGTTGATTAGAATTGATAGAGATGAATTTGGATGCATATTTATTAGCTGCCATCTTTCCACAATCTCATTCCATCAATAAGGAAAAGGTAGATCCGCTGCGAAGCAATTATTTTTGCTAACCAAATGTCAAATTTGGGCATTGTTGAATTTTGATAATCTCTCTAGGAGATATAGGGTGCGTTTGAAACTCGTTCCAAAATAATTTTGTTTTCTATATGAAAATAAAAATGAAAACGTTTTCATTTTCATTTTAGAATCATTTCTGAAAATGCGTTTGGTAGTTTTATTTTGATATTATTTTCAGTTTTAAAAAAACTAAAACTGCGTTTGGTGATTTAATTTTTAAAAACATATAATATTATTTTAAATAATAATATATAAAACATACTTCCTAGTAATCTTCAAAAATACGTCTAAAAAGTAAAAAGGATATATAAAACATGATGAACAACAAAAAACCTGAGAACTTTGTATTTAGTAAAAATTATAAAAAGTGATTCTTAAAAAACTTTTAACGAATTTATAATCAAAATCAGAAGCAGCTTAAAGACAATTTTAACTTTTAAATTATGCGGCAATCACCTTAAAATATAATTAATAAAATTTTCATAATATACTTGAAATCAATACTTATATAATTACAGTTTTTTAAATACTCAATTATTTTTTATAATTGCTATCTATTTTTTAGCACAACTAACATTAATTTTTTAAAATATACATTACTACGAAACTGGCTCAATATATACATCCTACCAGCGACAAAATTTCACCAAACGGCATGAATCTTAAAAATGACAATTAATAAAATGAGAGTATCACTCAAAAACGACCATGTATTTAAAAACAAAGAAATGTCAAAATTACGAGATTATGTTACGTACTTACTTTCAAGAAAAATACGATGTCATATTTACGGACTACGAAATTTCATGATGAAATAAATATCTTCGAAACGACCGCAATTTATACAACGGTATTATGACTTCGAAAACGACAATGAATATGAAACTTGCAGTTATTGAAAACAACAGCAATTATCGGCACATTTTCAAGGAAGAATGTCAAAAGCAAACGACAATAATACAGTAAAATGGCAACAAGCCAACAAGGAAAACGACAACAGTTTAGAACAAGAAATCATCCTAAAAAAACGACAATATCATTGGTAAAGCACACAATAAATCGGTGGCCATAAAACACATGATAATAATAAAGACCAAAAGAGAAAAGATCAGAAAAGATTTCACAAAACGATAGTGTCGTTGACAGGAAAGATTCTGTTCCGGTTCACTTGAAAAAGACGCGCCAATGTAATTATGGAAAAGTTGAGGGACGGGAAAAAAAGAATTATGCATGTATGAATACGCAAATATAAGAAAGTAGAGTGGCACGTCGTGTAAAAATTTGAAAGAAAATGGAAGTGCAGGGAAAATGGTGGCGTGGGCGGTGATGTACTCGATTATTACCCACGTCGTCCTGTCTCATGTTTGGACACCCAATATCTTCGCTATAAGATGTGCACCGTCCTATGCTATTACTTGACGGTTTTACCCTCTGCTTTCTACTATTTTTACAATTATTATCTACCAGGCCTATAATACCACCTATCTGAGCTCCCCTTCTCCGCTTTTAAATTTTGAATTCTGTCTGGGTAAAAGCCAAAAAGGTGCACATGCCACTGTACACAAACACTCCCCCCACCTCACTTTTGCTTATGGACCAAACTACCCTCTTTCAAAATTAAAAATACAAAAAGTTTTTTTAATTTAAGAATCCTGCCATTCTGCTATAAAATTCACCTTCTTTTTTAACAATAAAAGAGTCCATTTTAGTTTTTTTTTTCCCTAAAAAATGGTAAAAACCCACGTCTAATGCAAAAACTAATTTCAGATAATGTTGGTTAAAGCGAAATTCTCTAAAAACAACCTATACGTGGCACCAGGAAAGTACATTTTTAGCCATAACTAAAATATAGGGTGCGTTTGGAATTGATTCCAAAACGTTTTTATTTTCTGTACGAAAATGAAAATGAAAACGTTTTTAGTTTCATTTTTGAATTATTTCTAAAAATGCGTTTGGTAGTTTTATTTAGAGATTGATTTCAGTTTTAAAAAAAACTGAAACTGCATTTGATGGTTTAATTTTTGAAAACATGTAATAATATATTAAATAAATAACATTATTAAATATATTAAATAATAATA